GCATCGGGAATTGAGTAGGTGGGTTGGTTTTTAAGGTTGTTCGGGTCTTTAAAGATGATGTGGTGGTTCTCTACTTGCATGGGTGGTAGTTTTTCCGGAATTTTGTCAGAAAAAACATCTGCGAACTCTTCCAGCAGCTCATGGACCGTTGATTCGCATACTGCAGCTCAGTATTCTCCATTGGTAGGAGTGCAGGATACCCGGACTTTCTTGTCTGGGAATTCTATGATAGATTTGCCACATCTGATGACTGCATTGTGCCGGGTGAGGAATGGCATTCCGATAAGGGCATCGAACTTAGCTACATTTCCAAGCAGCATTTTGTGTTCCGGGAACTTGACAGATCCTAGCTGGATTGAGACATTTGCGGTTTTATGGCTTGTAGAGCGGGATTCTTTTACCGCCATAGCAACTGGGATCAGTTGTTGGCGGGCTTTGGTTTTGAGTCCATGGGTAGCCGCAAAGGTGTTGCTGATCATGTCTGTGCCAATTGCTCCTGTATAGAAAACGACTCGGGCAGGGTGCCCGTTGATTTGGATTGTTCCTTCTAATGCTCAGTGGGGCTTCTTGCCAGGTTTCGGCTGGACCAGGAAGCACTGGGCCTCCAAGGTGTTGATCTGCACATCCTCGTATTCGTCTAGTTCTATGTAGTTTTCTGCAGGCGCCTTTTTGATCGCCTTTCCTTTTCCCTTCTTAGTCGGGCAATCTCGGGCCATATGTCCGGTTTTTCCACATTCGAAGCATTCTCCCTTCTCCCTTCGTTTCTCCTTAGTGGATTGCTTCGCATTTTTCTGAAACTTTGATTTCTTAGTACTTGATGGACCCGGCATTTGGTCTTGCCATTCCCTTCGAGGTGGTGGTGAGGGTCTGGCTCCATAGGCATTGGTTTCATGCTAGATCGCGTCCTTTCGCTTGGCCCTGTTTATTATGTCATGGATATCGTCGTCATCCTCCTCCATTGGTTCTACCTCTCTGCGGAGTATGGGGTGCATAGCATCATAGAAACGGCGTTTCTGAATGTAGGCTGATACTGCGCTGTGGGGCATACGCTTTGCATAGAGTAAGAGGTCTGTTGCTATCTTGGTGATACGTTCTGTCTTTCCGCCGTGGGTTTGGCTAATGCTGTTGAAGGCTTTGAATATTTCCTCGCTATTTCAGGATGATTGGAATCGCTCCTTCAGGGCTTCAAGTACCCTGGTTGCTCTTGCTCCTTCCACATATGCGTCCATGCACTGTTGATAGGCATCGAGGGCTCTGCCTTCACAGAAGGCTCCTATGTACATTCCTGTGTTGTGTTCCTCGATATTGATGCCGTGCAGCCTCAGGTATTGATGTACTGCTGTTTCCCATCGCTGAAATGCCTTGGGTTTCAACTCATCACCCTTTCCTGAGAAGTTCACAGGTAGAGGGAGCTTGATCTTAGGGGGATTGACAGGTATGCCACCGACTCCAGATCCTCCTCCCGGAGGGTCTGGTGGTCCCAGGGGACCTCCGGGTGGGTCTCTTGCTGAGCTTGCCATACTGTCTTCGCTATCGCTACTGCTACCATTGTCTTCGGGGCCAGGTGCTGCACCTGTACCTTCTGTAGGTAGTCTCGATGAACTTTCGCTAGTTCCAGGTAGTTTTCCCTTTCCGGGCGTAACTGGGAAGCCTCCAGGCGTGGATAGGCTTTGTTGGCTAAACTCTTCATTAGTTTCCTTGAAATCTTGAGCTGCCTGATCTCGAGCTAGCTGTCTTCCTGGATCGTCGATCGCAAATCCATCCTTGGGTCCTTTCGCTTGACCTGGTCTCTAGGGCTTCGTTAGCCCTTCTCTGGAGACCTGTTTCCCACTGCGTATCGTGAGAGGGTCTATTGTGTAGGTGGGGTGGGCAAGCCACTACTGGGCTCCTCCGCCTTCGTGCTAGCTTTGCCGAGTTGTGTCTGTCGATCCGTGATCTTGCACACAAGTTTCTAACCACTTGCTGAGGTTAAAAAAATGTAACGTGTTCGCACCGGGGTGCTAATCACACTTCCGGGTACAATAGAAGTAGCGCACAAGTTGATCTACAACCTATGGGCGTACTGCGCTAAGGGAGGCTCCGAGAGAAAGATAAAAAGAATAGGGACTTGAAGAGGTAACCATTCAACCAAGTATATTAGAAATACTCTGTCCGTCGAAGTCTGCTGTTCCTCTAAGGGATTCAGCGGTCTTTAAATACAAGCTTTGTCCATGTCCTCCATGGACGGATTTCCAAACCATCCATAAGCAAACCACAAAACAAACTGAGTATCAAAGGATACTCAAAACTACAAGTAAAACAAACTAAGTATCACAGGATACTCGAAACCACAAGTAAAACAAACTAAGTATCAAAGGATACTCAAAACCACAAGTAAAACAAACTAAGTATCAAAGGATACTCAAAACCACAAGTAAAACAAACTAAGTATCAAAAGATACTCAAAACCACAAGTAAAACAAAGCATAAAACAAATCCTTGAACCCAACGGACTGAACTCCAGTTCCGGTTACAGTAACCGGCTATTACCAGAAAGACAAAATCTTTCTCTTCTACAATTTTTCCTTCTCTGTTTCCACTTTCTTCAAGCTCTTCTTTCTCTAGTAGCTCTTATCAGAAAGTATAATTTCCTGTCATATAAATACTATAACTCCTAGCAATAGAATGAATTCATAAAACAATAATAACCAGAATGTGTATCAAGAGAATAATTGTTTATACAACTTAATTGCAACACATTGCCTATTATTAAAGATGAGTACCTTCTCATTTTCGACAGTACAATAAGTAATGATGCAGCAAATAGCTGTCATGTGATATCACTCGGTATTGGCAAGCCATTACAGATTTCTGATGCCAATCTTATATTTCCGCCAAATTAGGTGTAGCAATCCAAGCTTACATCTATATTGGTTATTCAAGAAATAGAAGCCAAATCAGCTTTAGCTGGGGTGGATAGACTAGAACATTTCCGGTTTAGTGCTTCCGGTCCTTGGTGCTACTTGATTCAAGTGACCAAGTTATCTTTGTTTGGACTTGGAATAATGTTGCTAGAAATATCGAGGTGCTGCTTGACACGCTCTCATGAGAGTCATTTGCTTTCTTCTAATCGCTTTGGGAACGAATTTTGGATTTGGGCATTTTCTTGACTTTCCGGAAAGCACTTTGGCTATAGAAATTCATGGAAGATTTGGATCAATGCATCCACCAAGGGGGAAAGTGGAAAAGCTGGAAAGCCAGATGCTGAGAGTATTAGATGTCAGGAGGCTATAGACTATGGGGGTTTATCTTTTCGTTGTTAGCACGAAATCATACGAGCAATCGCATGGACATGTGTAGCAATCCACGGAAGGATAACAGGATTTTGTGTTTGATATATCATCATGTCTTTATCATTAGTTGATGGGTAGACAAAGAGAAGAGAACTTTCCCGTTCCTGAGTTGTGCGATATTTTTCATGTGTGAACTGTAATTGTTTGATTTTGTCGTTTGTTGTTGTTTTGCTGTTTTGCCGTAGATTTAGTGCTTATCGATCCACCTTTGAGAAATTTGAATCTTAGAACTCTAGGTCTTTAATCGAGGAGAGGGGGTGACCCCCATCCTTAATTGTGACCAAGGCGGCCTGCTACGGTACACCCTACAGATTAGGTGTCTTACATGTTTCAAAAAAAAAAAGAAGGGCCAAGTTAGGCTATATGAAATGGGATCACTATATAATACTGTATACAAGCTGTTATTCTTGACTCCCAATTTCAGCATTCACTATACCCTCAGGTAGCTAGGTGGGATACTCTCAAAATATCCATGACAATGAGGCTTCCACCAACATTGAACCTTGAGGTTACGGAGACTAAGTACGTATTTTCCACGCCCGAGCCAAAGAACTTAACACCTTCTGGCCTTAGGGAGACTCAGTTTGCTGTTGAGCCATCGGCGCCTGGAAGAAAGAAAGATTGTGATCAGGAACCAAAGCCTGCCGAGGTGCCAAAAGGTAAAGCTTGATAGGCCAAGGCTGAGCTTTCCGCATATTGCATGTTTGAATGCATGGTGATACCAGAATATTCCAAATACCACTCTAATACTAACCTTTTTTTAAATCTTGTTGCCTCTTTTTTTCTCTTTCATCTTTTCCCTTTTCGCCATTTGTCATGTACGCACCTGACTCCGCTTAGAGAGGCTCATTTTTATTGAAACCCGATGGAGGAGGGAGGCTCTTTTACAGTATCATACCCGCTCTCGAATCCATATTTACTTACCGGGAACTTCTCGGTTTTGATTTTATATTTCCTCTCGTAGCCTAATACGAATTCCGATTCTGGTTCATCGCATGCTTTCGCCTTCTTACAGGCATTGCTCAGCGACACGACCCCCACCCAATGCGGCAGAAGTGATACCTGAATGATTCATTGGGCCGAGTCAATACAACTTGTACAGTACAGTACTCGAGTAGCTCCACTTACTCTCCACGGTAAACAATCCACTAGTAAGAGAGCATTAGTACTACCGTACAAGTACTTGTACAGTACCGGTAATACCATAACGCTTTCCTCTATATTTGGTTAGCCGATCACGTGATGTAATGCAAATGAAGCTTGGCATGACCCGAACTACCGAGGCTGCAAAAGACCAGGATCTTGCAACAGAGCCTCTGGCGCCTTTTATTTTTGTTAAACCTTCGCCCCACCACTCATCTCCACTTTCTCGGTCAATTCCTTCCTGCCCCATAACTACCCCTCATCGCCACTAATATGGTATTAACTCCGGCACCGTTACATCAAGCATCGTAGCAATCTTCCCATGCTTGCACGCCAATGTGGCCGCCGCCACGGCCGTAGTACACTCACAGGCCTTCGACATCGACCCTGCACATCGAGATCTGAGATTACCCTGTACGGTGATTCATCAATTACGGGCAATTCTTTGACGATCTGGATCACGGATTCGGCGCTTAGACGGGCCTTTCTATCGTTTACAAGAGGGTTTTCCCAGTCGCCGCCGGCATGCCAGAGACTTCAGGCGGAGTTGAGGAGGGAGAAGCGGCGGGACGGGGAACCGAAATCTGGGTTGTCATCAACGCCGTCGGGGGTGTCGATGCGTGGGTGGGGTGATGTCCCGCCAACTTTTAGCTGGAGTTTAAGTCGATATAGGGATCGAACGCCATCATTGGACGGTCTGTCTGTCTTCTACCCTTGATTTCACTGTACCGCATGCTCGGATCGGGTTCGCTCACGGACAACTGTAGATCCATTTCTATCGGCTTTCAGCTCACGGACAACCCCTCCTTCTACTATAAATCGGCCAGGGCGACCGAAAGGCTCCCACTACGAACCACCGCGCCCCGGCGTGGGCAAGTTCTTCGATTCTATACTCGAGCCCTTCGTAGCCATTTTCTCCCCGTGGAGAGCGTTACCGCCGGAGGCCCCTTGCGCTCCGTTTAGTACCGTGGGAGAGTCTTTTGATTTACTGAATACTCGTATTTTGGCTGGACTGTCGACAAGTACGGCCATTGGGGAATATAGAAGGCTCAAAGCCATCCAACCTAGTCTACGACTTACCGGCCCCGCTGTCATCGTGTTGTTGCGGAACCTGTTGAAGTTAGGACTACATACACCGATTTTGGAAGTCCTAGAGATGGAGAACCTAATTGTTGATGAGGGCATAATGCTGTTAAAAATTGCCATGGAAGGACTTAGCCCGGAGAAAAGACAGAGAGTCGCCGAAAGACTCCTCGAGGCTGGGGGGGATCTGTACTGGAAGCGATTTAGGAGCATGTTGTCAGAAGAGATCAAGTCTTTTAGGACAGAAGAGGTCATTGCGAGGAGCAATCGGGAATACGTCTATAATATTCGGAGAGCGCAGAGTGGGGACAAAATGCGAGAGCTCCTCGACGAAATAGTATTAACAAAAGCAACCATCACAAGGCGGACAAGCCGACTGATCGCCTCTCGGTTCGTCGATCTCAACGAACTCGACTTGGGGGCTTCCTATGCTCTAGAGCCCCTCATAAACATTTCTCAAAGCAACTACATAGCAACGATCTGCAATGCTCTCTGTGACGCAACGCAATACGGCGCAAGCTATAAGCTCATAATGAGTGCCCTCAAATCGGGTAAATATGGTCTCCTTTCAGATCTAGATATAAAGCGAGGCGTGCGAACGGTCGACACCATGTCCCAACCGCATTTACAACTCCACGACCTCTGGGACGCGATGAAGTCTTCCTCATGTATATATCCCCGCGACCTCTCCTACCACACCTACGCCGCCTTCCTCGGCCGCGCCACAAAGCTAAGATTCGGCTGGCGGGGTAGTCTCAGAGAAGGAAGAGGCGAGACCCCACTACTAACAATGTCCATCGAGATAATCGTCCGCTTCACAGATCAAGAAAAGAAGATGGCCCGGGGTCTCATCAGCTCCATGCTAGAAGCATGGATATGGAGCTGGGGCCGCACATGCTGGAAAAAGCCCAATGTGAAAACCTTGGAAGGAAGCATCCCCTTCTTGGCGCCACTCTTCAACATCCTCCCCCCCGAAGCCCGCGACCCAGCGATCCTCATGGCCATCGAGAGAACAACGACCAACTGCATCAGGAGTGGTGGTGAGGTCTGGCCCCTGCAGGTACTGTGGCCATTCGTATCATCGCTAGCACAGGCAAAGATCTGGAAAGAGGAGGAGAGCATCGGCCTCTGGGCCACGGAGCGGGTACTGCTTCGCAAACGCCTAGCACCAGCATACCTCCGCTACCGTACCGATGCCGAAATCGCACGGTTTGTCGCAAGGCATTACCTTCCGCTGCGGTTGGGACTGACAGGGCCAAAGCGCGTGACGCAACAAACACAGGATGCGGAGCGGGTCATGGTACGCATGCGCTCGCTGGAAAAAGGTGCCGCCAGGTTCCCAGGCCTGAGCGTCTTCGCCCTCGCGATCCTGGCCTTCCAGGACACGAGCATCCCCTCCAGCACCCTCCTCGCCGACATGATATACACCCTCCACCGCCTCCACCGATACACCGACATCCCCGCGCTCCTAGCTTCCCTGAAACACTACAACATCTCGCCCTCGCGCTCCGACATCGCACGGCTAATCCGCCTGCTAACGAGAGTCCACCCACCCTCCGCACTGGAGCTCCTCCAGACATATCCAGACACACAGTACTCCGTATTCGCGCAATTCATCGTGCGGACCGCATCCCCCCACCCGGACCTCGCGTTGCAGGCATACCAACTCCTGACGCCGCCGAAACTGCACTACTTCTCGCGGCTCCGGCCGAATATTCCTGGCCGCAGGCTGCCTGGCAAGAAGCTACTGGTTGCTATGGGGTGGAACTTTGCGAATTCGCCGGTTCTGTCACCGAGGCAGAGTTTGCGCTACACGCAGAGGTGCTTGAGGGCGCTGTTAGAGCTGGGGTTGTATCCGGGGCCGAGGATGGGGTGGGCCATTGCCATCGCCGGCGTCGAGAGGGCGATTCGCGCGGGGATTCCGGTGGGGAGGGAGTGGGAGCGGATGAAGTGGGTGCTGAAGGCTGTCAAGAGGAATGCGGGGCCTGCGAGGGCGGGGGAGGTGGATCTCATGTTGAGGAGCTGGGAGCAGAGGGTTTGGAACGACAGGATGGGGAGGAAGTGATGATCGTTGTTCTATCTCGCGTAATTTATTCACTTGTTCAAATTTTTTTTCCTCGCTCCGCCGACCGAGCGGGTGTAAATAGCATTTGCGGTGCGCATATCTGCTTACGAATAGGGCTACTCTAGAGACTCAGCAGAGGTTATTGGCAGCTGTATATAGATATCACCAAGCGTTATAGAGAGGGGGGGGGGATGGGGTACTGTACATTATATTTCCAATCTGCAACGATAAGTTACTCGGCATTTCACCGGGTTACCAAACCATAAGCCAATTTCCAACTTCTAATCCACAATATATCACTCGCTGAAAACTGCGCTCAGACTAAGTGTTTCCGAGCGGTCCCCTGCAGGGGTAGCCCGCATACCCGCATGCCAGGTAGTCCCAATGCCAGCCATGCCGGAGAAACACGAGTTTTTTTTATAGTTTTTCTTTTCAAAATACCGGTACCCGTGCTCGAACTTACGTTGTCGGGCGGGATGATCGACATGTCGCTTAAACGTTATCCGGGTCCTGCCGGTCACTCCTCAGGAACACTCTCCAATGACGGGATAACACGAGCCGCGCTCTGCCCCCACGATCAACGCTTTATGCAGTACAAGAGCTGCTGCTCGATATGGGGGCCCCTACGGGGTAGCTTGGACATTCCCGTTCGACCAGTTCTCGGGTCCGCGCAGGGGAATTGATGACTTGCGGAAGGGATAGAGCATGTCCTTGTGATTCTTGATAGAGTGAGGCCCGGTTACTCGTCTAGAGGGGTGGGGGGGTTTTTGATCCGTTACTTGATGTCACCAGCGTTCGCTATGAGGGAGTAGAGTGTATATTAAATGCAAAGATATCCTCCATCTCTTTCTCCCTCTATCACACCTCCTTCGTGCTTACCCCAACATCCCCTTCCCGAAAACATGAAGTTCACTCTCCTCCTCTTTCCACTCCTAGCTCTTGCGCTCCGTTCGCAGCCGCGTTCCAGGACAGGTGTGACAGAACACGTCACCTTGAACCTGCGTCCCGGCATCTCGTTGGAGACCACGAATGCCGGCGCCCAAGATTGGATTTTCCAGATTGTGGGCAAGTGGTCTGGCTTCCAGGATGGCCATTGGGGATTAGAACTCGGGGATGCTCCAACCGCCGTTTATTGGTTCTTCAGTATGCCCATCCCTCTCTTTCCCCCCTGCTAGGTCGCATGGGGCAACGAGCTAAGTAGCTCGCTGTGATAGACTGGGACTCGGTAGCAAGCCACCAAGAGTTCACCCGATCCCCAGAATACCCCGCCACGATCGAGAAAGTGGAATCCCTCGCAAGCTCCTTTTCTGCCCCCCACGTTCCGCTCCAGCCATTCCCGCCCAGGGAGGTGTTCGCATCCCCCGTAGTCTCCTGGGTCACGTTCAACCTCACCGGTGTTGCGAACTCCACCGCCACGACGAACTGGCAGGCGACCGCTAATGACTTTTTGGGCAACTTGACTCGCGTCAGTGGGTACAGGGCTCATTCGTCCGGATGGGAGGTTGAGGACAGTAGGGTCTTTAGCGTTCTTGTTGGGTGGGAGAGCGCTGAGTCTCTAGGGGCATACGTCATCAGTCGAAGCTTTGCGGAGGGTTTCCGAAGACTGGTGAGCGGTGTTGCGTGGGAGCACAGGGTATTGAGAGTTGCCGGGTATGTCCCAAAGTTGTGAGCCGGGTGATTCTTTGGTTTTCGGGAGGATAGAGGCAGGAACCGGGAGGCTAGCGCTCTGCTTGTATTTTCTGAATTCAATACCTCTTCAAAGAGATTAGTGTTTCCCTGGGTATCTTGAAAGTGTGTTTAAATATCATAGGAGTATCGCGACGGGCTGGGTAGCCGGTCATGTAAAACACGACATTAGACTTGGGGGTGGTGGATGAGGCCCCCGCGTCCAGCTAAAATACCTTTTCCTAGTACGCCAACCTGCCAGATTCCATAGGGCCGAGGTATGGAGAGTCAGTCAGTAGGTGATCCCAGTTCTCCATGTGATTTAATGCGACTATGCAAGCACATTCTCATCTCGTGCCTTGTCTGTATCATGCGTTTACTGGATTCTAGCTTTGTGCGGTGTGTGATGCTAGGAAAGGAGAGATGGCGTTTAGGGGCCAGGGGTCGGGCCTCGATGGTTTAGTCTAGTTAGAAGGAGTGGATGGACTAAAGGCAGGTTAGCTAATCACATAGGCTATTATCACTCTGGGGATAAGGAGTATAGGGCACATGAGGGTATGATAACGTATATTGTGAGTACGTGTCGGCGCAGGGAGAGCTAAATCCTCAAGTTTTGCCATTCCGGCCAGCCGTAGGTTCTAACGGCTAACAGGTTAGGATTCTGATGAGGTGGGACCCATGCATCGCCCATGCATCGCCCACGAGTACCGTATGAATCCCTTCTCTACCCTTACCAAGCTATTCCCCAAACACACACCCATACCTTCCGAAATAGACAACGTGCAAAATAGCCACCGGAAAGTGCGGAAACAATTTCCTCTCTTTCCGTTTTGTATCATATGTGCCCCGTACGTTAGTAAATTGTGGATAGTGACCTAGAAGGCATAGGGGTTTGAGCATCTGAGAGGGCGAAGACACTGGACATGCGCTCAATATTTATGACGTCATCGCGCGCCCCCGGCCCGGACGGGATTGCGCCCGGGGGAAGATAGGAACCACGCCAGCAACGGGCCATGTCGGGTGTCATGAACCGAGTGACATTCCGTGAGTTACAATGATGGCGGTGAAGCGGGGCACTGTGACAAGTGTGGCGGTGAGTTTAGTGATCACCGCCACTTTCGCTTGCTGCACTTTTTCAACTGTCCGGCGACGCGACTTTCAGGGCCATGCGCGAACGATTCCCCTTTGCGGACCAGGCTCGCCGTGGGCTCTCGTTGGGCCTTTTGATTGCCCAAGAATTTCGTTCATTCCCCATCCCTAGCAATTCTAGTTGTCGGGGGGTTTCGGGGGCGCCGGGGCTGGCATGTACGAGTGCAGTACCAGTAGAGCAATTGATAGTGTAATGCTGTGTCCGACACGATGACACTGACTCACCATACTGCAGCCCTCAGCTCTGCGACCGCCGAAACCGCGGCTGGATCGCCGGTGGGCATTGAACCTCATGCGGGGTTACGACTGAAAAGGATTTTTATGGGCACAAGTATCGTATAATACCTCAGGATATTCTGGGTGAGATGGCCCTACTGGATTCCACTGGATTTGGAATGGGGAAGTGGGAGGTCAAGGGTGATTTCCTGCGTTGTAATGCCGGAGGGGGGGGGGGGTATGCGGTTGCGGCGACATGAGCTGTTGGTAATTGAATGCCGGTAGTTGATACTTGTACAAGTGGGCTACTTTGGCGATAGTAGGGCCATGGCGGTACGAGGGATAGTAAGCCACGGGTACAGTACGGGTATACCGGTATGTAGGGAGCTCAGCGGTTCTCCGGCTCCAATGGGACCTCTCGCTTCCCTTGGTCATTACCGTCGCCGTCTGCTGTTGTCAGTGCTCAAGTATGCCCACTGGTTGCAAGATCCCGTTCCGTGGATGTGGCTCAACCGCGCATGCTGTCAGGGGCCCTCTGTGGCTGAAGCTGAGGTGGGTGGGCGCGGTCGGGTCATGCTGTGTTAGCTCTTGGCACGCCGGATCATGTTGTCCGGAGGATATTTGATTCGAGCGCTGGAAGTGAATCTCATCTCATCTCGCTTCTGTTCGGCTCCACAGACTTAAACCACCTCCCACCGCCCACCGCCCACCGCCCACCATCCACTACCATCCCTTCCTGTCGGTTGAGGCATCTCTTGATAAGTGTTGGCCGTTGGGTGAACCTCCCACAGCTCTGCCCACCTTCCCAGCCATTACAACTCTCGTGGATCTGTTGACTCATTAGCAGACAGTCATCTCCACGGCTCTGCCTCCTCCCACTGCCATCCAAGCCTTTAAATACCGTATCCACTTGGCTGTCCTCTTCTGCTCCCAACTCATCGCTCCCATCGCTTCAACTTTATAGTCGGCAACCGATCCCTGAATGGTGAACATGTCCGCTTAGATACCGCCTAATTTCGACCAACTCGGCCAAAAGCTGACCCGTCACAAGTCTCCTTTGCTATCCTCTGCAAACATCTTGAACCCTTTTTTCTGTTAGCTGACCCCACAGAGTGTTGAGAGATACTTCAAACATGATTCCTCGGTCATTGAACTTGTTCCCTTTGCACCAAACCTGCACGAATACCCAATCCGTTGTAATATTACACCTACTACTCCTGGCAGCCCTGATAGGCACCGCTCACGCATTGCTCTGAGAGCTTTCTAAGCTATTATTGACATACCACGGAGGGAACTGGAGGTCAGGGATACGTGGGGGGATACAGGAGCTGCTATTTGTCGGTCAACTTCGGTTCCGCTCTTTCCTGCCCTATTCGCTTTAGGGTGTGGCGTGAGCTAGGGCCCAACTCTCGAGGGGAGAGCTTATCCACGCACTTACCCCGGCACTCGCCTATCCAAAGGCCAATCCCTCGATTGTCGTTTATCATGTCTAGCATCTTTACTTTTAATCCGTCGCCCCCTAAACCCGCCTCTCCATGGGCAAATAACACCCCCGCTCACCCTACTCCATCGACAACGCCTAAGCCTGCGACTGGGTCGCTGGATCTAATCACTCATGATACTCCCGGGCATTTGAGAATCAATAACAACTCCGGAAAGATCCGGAACCATTTCGTGGGGGATAGTGAGAGGGGAGGGGTGGCCACCGTCAGTGGGGAGACCGTGAGAGGATTGGCCGCCGAACCCCAAATGGGCGCCACTGAATACAAACTGAGTCTTGTCAGAGGTGGAAAGAGTGAGGCGCGATTGGACCAGTTGGTGACTCAATTGCTCTGGCGATTGCAACAGAGCAGCCCGTGCGTTGCTTCCATCCCCGGAATTTGGAACTCGGGCCTCCGTTGCTGATTTGTCTACGATCTCAGGTACCACGCCAACTCTCTTGCCTCAAAGTCTCCCGAAGCCATCACCTCACTAGTTCAAGAGTCTCAAGGCGCGCTCTACGAAATCGGAGTTGCTGATGATGGCAAACTTATCGGACTTTGCGAGGAGGAGCTTCAAGCATCTCTCGACACCCTACGCTTAATGGCTGCGAAACTGGGATGTACTGTGAGGGTACTTCGCAGAGAAGCTGTCGGTACGGTCACCGAGTGGGATCTACGGCGCACTGAAGGAAAGCAGGCCGAACTTATGAGGTCTAAGCAACGGAGTCGGGAACGGTCTGAAAAGGTTATGCTTCCGGGGGACGAACGCGGTGTGGAAGAGGAAGGCTTCCCAGGCTCCGAGGAGAGCTTCGGTGTTCCCAAGGTTGGCGACCCGCTATGGGTCGTGGAAGCCTTTGTCCAGCCGGGCCATGGTCAAAATTCCGTGTCCGGAATGCCTACGCCAGAACAAAATGCGGCGCGTATAGAGATTAGAGGGAAAACCAAACAACTTAGGATTACGCTCACGGGAGCCACTGCCTGTGGAAAAACCACGCTCCTGGGGACCTTAAGCACCGGTGAGCTCGACAATGGGCGCGGGAAAAGTAGAATCTCACTGCTCCGCCACAGACATGAATTGGTGTCCGGTATTACCTCGTCCGTGACCTGGGAGATCTTGGGCTACATGCCCGAGGATTCCAAAGCGAAGCCCGAGCCCACAAACTGCAATGGGGGGCCGTCGAGGTTAGTGAATTATGCATCCGGCAATATATCTTCTTGGACCGACATCCACGCAGCGGCAGATGGTGGAAGAATTGTTTTTCTGTCAGACTCTGCTGGTAACCCCAAATTCAGTAGAACAACCTTTAAATCACTCATTGGATGGGCACCACATTATGCTGCTTTTCTCGTCGCTGCGAATGACGATGAGACTTTGGATACCGGAGGGAATGAGGAGAGGCCTTCGGGTTTGAGTAAACCTAGCCTTGCTCATCTTGATCTTTGCTTAAAACTAGGTCTGAGGATGGTCGTCATCTTCACGAAGCGGGACCTGGGCACCAAGACAGGATTGAAGAAAGTGTTTGGGAACCTGTTGACTATCCTAAAACAGAATAGGAGGAAACCTGTTGCGCTCTCTACTATTGCAAGTGTCGGGGACGCCGTGAAGCTTGTGGAAGATGATCCCGAACACACCGTACCCATTTTATTTACCTCATCCGTCAACGGACAGGGTGTTGATCTGCTTCATGAGTTGATGATGAGATTGCCAGTGCCTGAGCCTCCTAAGGCACCGGTAGTGGGAAACATTCCCGAGCCTTTATCGGGTAACAGCTTGACAGGTGTCAGGAAAGCAGTGTGGAAGGTTAGAAAGAGCGAGGGAGATCACGGGGTTGCGACAGAGGAAGCCGGCGGACTGTCCACTTTGTTCCACCTTGAGGAAATCTACGGTTTTCAGCCTGCGCATAGTTCAGGAGATGGGAATGGGGGGGCTGTGGTTGGTGGGCATGTCAAGTACGGGAAAATCACTATAGATGACGAGTTGTTAATCGGGCCCTTCCCGCCAGCCGATCGTACAAGTGGCCCACCGTCAATGGAAGGGACGCCTGCTACTCCTACCTCTCATCCCCTGCTATCGCCATCGGTTGGTAATTTGTCGGGGCTCTTGTCCAAGAGCCTAGATAGTGCTGACGAGATGAGAGCCGCCCCTCCTAAGCGATTGGGAGCAAAAATCACTCATGACGACGACACTGGACATAGCGATATGTGTGGCGAGGAATGTGAGTGGAAATTGGTAAAGGTTGTCTCTGTTCGCAGGCTAAGGCTGCCGGTGAATACTCTCTTTGCTGGTGAAGCTGGTACCCTCGGGGTCGTGCCCATCCAGCAGGAACCCTATCTCGATACATTTCTCGCAGCCTCAGTAATGAATTTACAATTGCATCTGAGCGGGCTAGGCGGTGAGACGGGGTCAGAGAATGGCAACGGCATCAGGATACAAGATGATTTCTCAAATACCCCGGCAAACGGCGCAAAGGCCGTAGAATTCGCGAATTGTCCAACCGTTACCCCACCCTTTTTCTCCACAAAGCTCCGAAAGGGTATGGTAATCTTCAATCGCCGTCCTTCCTCCGGTGCGAACGCTTGGCCACGGGCGTATGCTGGCTTTACGGCTAATCTCGGCGGCGAAGCTAACTCCCTTGTTCCCGGCAGCAGCGTAGTCGTGTACATTGCTTCTATCCGCGCCATTGCAAGAGTTATCTCAATCGACCCTCCACTGATTAGGAACGATGAGATATTTAGTCTCGATGATGAGGGGATACAAGAAGCGGAACAGGTAGATGATGGAGAAGGAGCCGGGAGGAAATTTATGTTTGAGTTTGATCGGGCGCGGACGGAGTGGATTGAAGTAGATGACAGGGTGCTGGTGGTTCCTGGTGGAGGAAAGAGGGGGTTGGACGCATTTGTGGGCAGGGTTCTCGGGAGACAGTTTTAGAGTGGTGGAATCGTGGGTGGGTAGAATTTGCCGGCCGTGACCAAGTTGACTTTTTTTTATTTTCTATTTTGTTTTGTTTTCATTATCTGTTTTCGTAGCTGTTGCGAGTCATAATGTTCTTGTTAGTGTAGAGAGTTTACCCAGGCGGTGAATTTAGATTATATATATACACGCGCGGCCGAATTGACGCCGGACACCATCCTACATTCGTGATCGCTGGGCTGGTGGATTCACTTCTCCAAAGTACCAAGTCATGTGATACAATTCTATATTGTACAGAATCAGTTGTAGTATATCGGGTCAAGGGGGTATTGGGGTAGCCCTTCGTGGGGTTGTGATCTATCGAAGGTGGGACATATTTCATGACAAGCTTTATAGGCTAGCACCTCAAGGTAGGAGAAGTACTTATAAGGGCTAGAATTTAGATCATATAGGTATTTGAGTGTTTGCCAGGGCAAGTATAGAAATAATATTTATAAAATTGTCTACACTCTTGTGTCGTATGACAATTAATAGTATTACTTTACTTGAGGTTTTTACTGGTTCAGTAATCACTACTGCATGAGTCTGAGGATGTCCAGCTTCAATTTAACCATGTAAATATATAGTTCTAGATAGATTCTTGAGACTTAAAATGATAGTACAAATTAAATATTGAAAAGGTGGTTTGAGTGGTAGTACTTAACACCTCATATCTAGAACAATTATTTAGGGACATGATATTTAACTTGAATGGGTAGTCACATTAACATTTTTAAAGTAAAGAACTTGTATATAATTCAATCTAATTGAATTAGATAAGAAGAAAGTTTATTGTTATCAGATAGTATTAGGTAGAGAAATGTATATCCATTAGAGAGTTAAATAAATAAATTAAAAAAAGACAACCAGAACCTCACGGTTCTTTTGGTAGAGGTCCTGCCATGCCTTTTTCTGCTCTACCTCTACTGAGGTTATATCAGTTAAATAAGTAAAAGAATCACCAGAACTCTCCTGTTTTTCTGATAAAGGTCCTGCCATGCTTTTTTCTGCTCACCCTCTACTAAGGTATATCCTCCACTATTATAACTGAGCAATACTATCACATCATACTCTGTCCTGATTTCAGTAAAATTTCTTACTTAGTATACTAGTATTCTATGTTTTTTGACTACATACCAAATGATTTGAAGTAAGGTACTCCACCACCCCACATGTCTAGCATTCTATCATATTCTCTATCTGACTATGCACAGAAACAAATTGTTTTTAATCATTAGTTTTTTAATATAAAATTGTATAACAGCAGAAGAAGGGGTAGTATCATACTAGAATATAGAATAGAGTTTAGATACTTCAAGGAGAAAGTGAGGGGGACTGAGAACTGGCACCATAAATATTGTTATACTGCCAGCAGTACAACAATATCTAGGCCTATTAAAGTTAGTGCTTGAATAAGATAGAGTTAAAATATTGAAATCAATTTAGAGATAAAGTACTTACGATATTGAGAAATATGTCAGTGCATTTAATTTCCTGGTCCTTCAGAGAATACAGAGCAACTATTACCTCCACCTGCTCCACCAGCCTCTGTCGAAGTTCTCCAAGTGTTTATGGAGTAAAACTACTATTTCCAAGATTTAGCTTCATTTACATAATAATACATAGAGGAAGGAGATAAGCATCATACTGCCAGTGGAGTACAGGATTATAATGATAAAAGAGTGATCGGGTATGTAAAATAGCTCTGTAAATATTGTTGTACTGCCTGCAGTACAACAATATCCAGGCCTGTTATAGTTAGTACTTAAGTAGAATAGAGATGTAATATTACTATTAAATTGAAGATAAAGTACTCACAATATTAAGAACAATATTAGTTCTAATAATTTTCCTATATGTTCCCTCCCTTTTTCTCTACAATATCTATCAAACCTCTTTTTATGTTTTGGAGATGGAACTATTATTCCTAATCTTTAGTTTTATTCATATAATATTAGATAAAGGAGGTAGTAGTATCATACCTTCATAGAAAAGTTAAATACTTCAAAAGTGAAGAGCTCTGTCAATATTGTTGTACTGCCTGCAGTACAACAATATTCCAGTCTATTAGAGTTAATAGCCAAGCAGAATATAGTTGTAATTTTTCCAGTTATTTTGAGATGAAGTACTTACAATAAATTTTAAGAACTAATAAAGTCATAACTTGTTAGCTTCAATAGTTTTTATAATAAGATATAAAATCAGAAGTTATAGATATTTCGGATTTTGAAGAAGGAAGAGAGATAGAAAGTCTAACCTATATTGGATTTGAAATATTTTAATAGAGGAGAATGTTGTGTTGTGATACTGTTAGGAGGAAATCCCACTAGTAGAATATTATAATCAATTTACTGTAGACAATTACATGTCTGAAGAAGTAAATTGTAAAAATGACTTAGTAGAGTAAAGGTGGAAACGTACTGGAGGAGGCTGAAGTGAGAAGATAGAATCTGGTTCCAGCAACCATTGAAGTTCATTCTTACAGAATAATTAGTAAATAGAAAAATCAAGAGAGTAGAAAAGTACCAGTAAAGAAAAGGATAAAATAAACATTTTACTTCCTTTAGAAGAAGATAGTATTCAAGTTGAATATGCTCAAAGAGACCATTGCTGGGAAGACAGGATAGCTACTATTAATTATTTGTAGCTTACTTGCCTGAGGCAATAAATTGTAAATAATACTAGTACTTAGTATTATATACCAAAGTCCTATTATTAAAGTCAGCTCCTTCTACTCATAATCATGGAATAATTCTGGCAAATTATTGATAATTTAATTATTTAAGAAAATAATATGAAGATAGTTGAGAGGAAGAACATACTAAGAATATGAAGTGATAGTTTCTCCCACATATTTGGGAGGTTGTCATATATAATATAGACAATATCACATACAACAGCTTGAGCTATTGTATTGATGAGTGGAATATTATTGTGATACTCATTAGGACAAGAGATATCATTTAACGTGGTGGAGTCTAATATGTAAGTTAAATTTGTATACTTTAATATTCATCCCTGGTACCAGGCAGTTTCAATTAGAGCTCACTAACTTTCTGCAGTTTGTATAGCTTTAAGTTAGTAAATATAGTTCAAAATTTATAGATTAAAAGATGTCAGAACATACTTGCAATTTTAAATAAGTGATAGAAATAAATAAGTTTCAATTACTCATTGTAATTGAAATGTGTGTTTGGTATAAATAAAGTTAGATAAAAGCAAATGTGTTAAATGTACTAGTATTAGTTGTGGTGTGATCTGTAAGAAATATTAGTATATATTATAATATATAAAAAATCAGAGTAAAAGTAGAGGAAAATGAAGTACTCTCTCACTTTATAACAAAATATTTGATTTCTGATTCGTTATAGGTGGTAACAGTGTCAGTGGCAACTGTGTTCCTGTTATACTACAAGTAACTGCTACTAGCAGAATTAAATGTGATTAAAGAAACAGAAGATAATTCTTGTAAATTACCAGTGGGAATTTATTCTAAAATGGTTTTCACTAGTGACCAATTCAGGTACATTACTAGTGAAAACATATCTGAGAATAATTCCCACTAGTTATAAAATGTACTGTATAACTAGTGAGAGTTGATTTTGAATCAACTCTCACTAGCCACCCATTTCCTAGGATTCTCAACTTCAGTATTATGAGTTTTAGGTGGTAGAAGGGTGGTATCTGATTTTCAAATAAAGTTAGCTTGATGTGGAAAAGGGAGAAATAAAATGAATAAGATAGAGGGGAAAGGAACAAATTATTAAATTGTCTTATTATCTTTGACATGGATAATATTGAGCTTAGGAGATCTACTCCTAAGCTCTTAAATGATTGGGCTAGCCAGCTAGCCATAAATGGATTGAGTTCTGTTGTTGCTACTGAAAATTCAGTACCTATAAATCAAGTCCATATTAGTAAGTATTATCTTCAATGATATATTATAAAGAATTAAATTTGTAAGTTAGATAGTATTAGAACAGTGAATAACCAGACTGGTAACTAGCAGTATCACACCTTTGGATGTGACAGAGTCTTAGATAGGTAGCTGGAAGGAAGAAGACTCAATGTCTTTACATACCAGTATGATTAAAGAATAGTTTATAAGTACCTACACACGTTCATGTACATGTGGTTTGAGGGGTAAGTCTGGGGAGGGAAGAAAGAGAGAAACAGATTAATCCTGATGAAGGCTGCTAGTCTCTGTGGCCATGTTTGACTAGCAGCCATGCCCATGAATATCTATCTTGTTGTGATCTGTAAAGATGGATGTGGAGGTAGAGGTAAAGGTAGATGTTGGTATGAAGGTGAAGGTGAAGGTGAAGGTGAAGGTGAAGGTGAAGGTGAAGGTGAAGGAGAAAGAGAGGTGGGGGAGCAGGCTCTTTTATGCACCTCCAGAAGGCCGGCACCTACAAGGAGCCCTAATAATGGGTAGTCACACTCAATTAGCAGTCACCTCATGCACCCTGTTGGGACCTACCCGCAAATCTGTAATAAAAATGAGGGTTACAACAAAGACGTGTGTGCGCTATTGTTTACACAGTGCGGAGAACGCTGTGAGTTTTGCTCCTCCTAGTAATAGCAGGTAAAGCCGGGTGTTGCGCAGACCACTGACAAGCATTTAGGACATAATCGAAATAGCAGGGAGATTCGGAGTTCTCATTACACCAATGGCGTGCGGTCGTATTTTCCAGTCACTGGACCGATTTACTAAGTTGCCGACACGGTAATAAGACAAAGAGGCGGTAACTGTCCTATCCCCCAGACTCCCCTGGGGACAAAGCTAACAATCTTCGAGTCAAACCAACACAAGAGCCGATGCTATCGCATCCTCCGGTGTGCTGATTACCTTGGGGGCGGGGCTCTGCACGCGCTTGGGCTCTTAGAGTTACGCGGGATATTATAACGGGGTTATCGACTCAGCGAAACAGGGTGAATTAACCAAAGCTGCCCGATTTTTTGTAGTCGATTTCCGGCCCCCGCGTTTAACCACCATTTCAACTGTACCAAAGGTTGTAATGCGTTGCATCCTTTCCAGATTTCAAATTGGGAATAGTATGGCAGGCTGACGTTTGGACTGATATGAGGAAACTAGTCACCACTACCGACAAAGGACATACCTTCCCGGCAAGAGAGAAAAACGGCAG